GTAGCAATTTTAAAATTAATAAAAATTTTTCATTCAATGTTATTAGAAATTAATGGAAGCAATTTTTTTCAACTTTTCACATTTAAAATTTACTTTAACTTCCAAAATTTTTGCAAACATAAAAAGGAAAAGTCTCATTAGTTTACCTAATTAACCTTTTCATGATAATTATCTGTTAATTCATATTATCATCTGATAAATGAAACAAATTTCCTTCCACAATAATTGTTATCAAAACCTAAGGAATGTTGCAAAAAAAAAAGAAAAAAAACATCAATATGGTAGTTTATATTCGAATAACACTTATCAACAGTATCAACATATCGATCACTAGTCATTTTTGATCGTAAAGAAGTGATAAAGATAAGATAAGCTATCCATAATGATTGTAAACAGAATGTTGAAGCTGTTGAACTGCTTAAAGCCTTTTTTTTTTTAAACGTCGATAAAAATTTAGAAAAAAACTTTTTTTTTTTGACAAAAATTTTCCTGAAACATCGATAGAATAAACTAAAACCTGCGCAATTTAATGTGATTTAAAATTAATCCTTAAAGTTTAACTTTTGCGCAATCTATCTTTTGACGATTTTAATCTAAATCGATACCGTAATGAAAATAAGAAATGAAATTAGTACCAACTTGAAACATATTTGTATCGATTGAATAATTAAATTTTTTTTTTGGTAAATAATGAATACATATATTCTATGATCAGCTGATAATTTTGTATCAATTTGATATGATAAGATAGTGTAAAAATGATAATTATTAGAGATATGATAAGATGATAGATAATAAATGTTTTGTATGAGTAAATTATTCTTATTCAATTTATTTTTCTTTCATAATGTAAACAATGTGATAACTCTTTAGTTTAATTTATAGCTAACATTTTTTGTTTTTCAAATTTATTTTACACAAATTGAAAAGATTGTTATTCGATTAATTAATTCCTTTATTCGATCTATCGATCTTTTGTATTGTTTATATGATTGATCCATTTTGAATAAGTATAACTTCATTATTAATCTTTTCAATAATTCACAGGTAGGTCATTTAATTGGTCAGATTTTTTGGTGAGTTTATAATTTTTTTGAAAAATTTTAAAAATACTGATTATGATGAAAAAAGAGAGTAAAGAAGAGAAGAAAGAGGAGGAAGAGAGAGAGAGAGAGAAAGAGAGAGAGAGGGGGAGAAGGATGAGTATATGAGAGAGATATGTGGGTGGGTAGTATTCGAAAGATAATGAAAAATGTGAGTAGTCAAAAATGTAGACAGATGCTTAGGTTAGGATAAAAAGCTTTACTACTTTAAAGGAAAAAAAAAAAAAGAAAAGATGGGATGAAAGAATAGTCCAAACATGTTTTTTTAAACAATTCTTAACTATTACTATGAGAGAGAGAGAGAGAAGGAAAGAGAGAGAGAGAGAGAGAGAGAGAGAGA